TGGATGGTTCTCCATCCCCTGTATCCTATACCTGTAATGAATTGGATGGTTCTCCATCCCCTGTATCCTATACCTGTATTGGAGTGGATGGTTCTCCATCCCCTGTATCCTATACCTGTATTGAATTGGATGGTTCTCCATCCCCTGTATCCTAATCTGGGTTGAAGTGGATGGCTCTGTATCCCTGTATCCTATACCTGTATTGAAGTGGATGTTTCTGTATCTCCTGTATCCTTTACCTGGATTGAAGTAGATGGTTGTGTATCCCCTGTATCCTATACCTGGGTTGAAGTGGATGGTTCTGTATCCCCTGTATCCTATACCTGGGTTGAAGTAGATGGTTCTGTATCCCCTGTATCTGATGTAGAAGCATCTGTATCAAACCCCATAATCTGTGCAATGGAGAACTGTAGTTTCCTGCACTGTTTCGGAGAAAATTTACAGTTTTCTTCTTCTTCTTCCTCTTCCTCCTCCTCTTCTTCTTCTTCTTCTTCTATTTCTGTTTTCAACAACATCATCGAATCCTTAATCAAATTTTTATGATTAAGTTGAATCTCGAATCTATACCAAATGTATATAATTTTATTTTTACCAAATATTGCGCTTTGCTTTACATGTAAAGCAACTCCACTGTCTAAAAGAACTATATTTTATGGATTTATGTTTGCTACGGACAAGTGTATCTAGACCAGTTTGCACGTAATCGTATACATTCGGGCAAAACGGGTCGAATAAATATAATCATTGTAAAACAAAAAAATATACAGAATAAAGAAAGAAAAAAAATTAAAAAAAACACGTTTTAAGATATATTGTGACTTATACTAAATTATATACATTTACACCAAATGCTACTTATAAAAATGTTACCATATACGAAACGTACAATACAAAATATTACCATATACGAAACGTACTATACAAAATATTACCATATACGAAACGTATTATTCAAAATGTTACTGATCCAGATAAAGAAATTGAGTCTTTGCCACAAACTCTGATCATCTAATCCTCATGTCTTTGCAACCCAATGTCGTAGACCTTATATATTTAAAACTATGAATTCTGTTGGATCAAATTGTCTAATTTGAAATATGAAAGTTTTGCACAACACCATCAGGTTGCAAAGATACAGGGATAAGAAAATCTGATTTGGTGGCAAAGACTAAATTCCTTTTAGTTAAAAATCTTAGAGGTGGAAGGGGAAGGTGGGCGGGGGTGGGGTTAAGCTGAGCTCTGCAGGTGAACCAATTAGTCGTAGAATAAGCAGTAAGCATGGCTACTACCGCATGCTTCAATAGGTATTGTTCAGTCTTAGGTTTAGTGAAGCGTGAATATCTCAGGGTCCTTTCTAACACACGGAGCAGATAGTTTGCTCATTTTTCTCAAGGATACATACTTAGAACTAGTCAGATTTTACAGGTTTTAATTTTGAAATTTTTCATTTTATATTTCACTTATTGTTTCTACGAGAGATACATTCAAAAAGAGTTACGCCTGATTATCTCTGCTCTGTAAACTTAAGTTTATTGGTATAAACCTGAAAGACCAGGTTAGAGTTTGTATTGCGTATATACGTATTATTAATGAGAACTGTTGTGTATAGTATGGAGTTAATCCTTAACCATAGCACAGGATGAAAGGGTTCAGCTCGAAGCAAGCTAGAAGGCGTCCCTAAAAGTTTTTTTAGGACCAGTAGTATATGTTAATTATCAGTGTGCTCTATATGGAACTAGAAACCTTGAGGGTAAGGAGAGAAAAACTTCGTTTATCCTTTGCTAAAAAAAATGCCTGAAATCTCAAAGGCACTTTGCTCTATTCCGTGGATCAAGTTGTTCACAACCACCAGCTACGGAGTGATGAACTAATTACTGTTAACTATGCTAGAACAGAGAAATACAGAAAATCTGCTATTCCTTATCCGCAGAGAAAATTAAAATCCTTATGATATAACCTTATTTTGTAATATAAAACATGATATATTCAATTATATTCCTATGGAAATGTTAATCATATCATAATATGAATTATGATCTTGATTTATCTCTAATAAACCTTACTTACTTTCTATACTTACTCACTATTGTTTCAAGTTTTATATACTTTTGGTTCGGCCATAGACAGACAAACAGACAAATATTAAAGTCAGTTTACAATTTTGTATTATAGTAAAAAATTATAATATATGCAAATGAGAAGGCCAAATCAAATTGCTTAATTTTGGTTATTTAACCCAATAAGTTCAGTTTTCATTCAATAGTAAAAGTTTATTCTGGTAGCAGTAAGTATAAATCTATCTAGCTATCTAAACCAATCTAATCTAAACCAATCTAATCTAAACCAATCTAATCTAAATTTTATCTAAACCATTTTTTTATTTTTTAAATTGCAGCTAAACCACTTTCCATATTGTTTATCAAGTTCCTCTTTTTTTCTTTTTAAAATGAGAATCACTTAAAATTAACCATTGTATTCAACTTTTTAATGATTTGTTGTAATAAGGGGAAAATTAAAACTAGCACTACACAAAACATATCTGATATAAATTCGTGTTTAAATACCAACACTGAAAGCCAAAAAATAAACTAAAATACTCTCCTCAAAACCTAAAAAATACCGCCAAAGTTAGCGGCAACCAGCGAAGTCTCCGCCAATGAGAAAGCTGGGCTGTAAATGACCAACCAATTAGAGCAAAGCACGAAATAGTATTAAACTGCTGATTAAGCCACAAAAAGACTTTTAAACTCTATCTTTTAACTTCTCATTACTTAAAAAATATTCCATAATTTGAAATAAATTTAAGATTTAAAAGTAAAAAAAAATTTGCCTTATTATGATGATATTCGATCTCTTCTTATTTGTGAATATTAGTTTTAGAACATCCAATAAGATTTTAGTATATTGTCTGCTTTTTTTATCAAATAAAATAAGATTTTAGTATGTTGTCTGCTTTTTTATCAGATACGATAAGATTTTAGTATATTGTCTGCTTTTTTATCAGATAAAATAATATTTTAGTATATTGTCTGCTTTTTTTATCAGATAAAATAAGATTTGGGTATATTGTCTGCTTTTTTATCAGATACGATAAGATTTTAGTATATTGTCTGCTTTTTTATCAGATACGATAAGATTTTAGTATATTGTCTGCTTTTTTATCAAATAAAATAAGATTTTAGTATATTGTCTGCTTTTTTATCAAATAAAATAAG